AATAGGAATGATTCTACGTTAATTTAACGTTTTTATGGTCAGTTGTATGCAATTGAAACAAATCTGGCGCCTTGGTAGAATGCACACTTTTAGGCTGCCTTTTTTGAAGTGTAATGAAACTTTAGATGCCAATCCTGTATGGAATGAATATCTGACTCCTCTTACCTTGACCCTTTGATAGTTCCCTCTCCTGACCGTCTCCTGACCGGTGCGCGTCGTCTGGCGAGACGTCCATGTCCTCGTCTGCAGCAAACCTGTCCGCTGTGTCCGCTGACGTTGTGTCTAAAGAGTCTTGTTTGTCGTCTGCGATGTCGCCGGCGACGAATGGTGGACTGCTGTCCACAGCGCTGTTGTCTGGTTCTTTTTCCTGGGAAACTGTCACCGCCTTGCTGACCTGGTCATTCTGCAGCTCTGACGGAGTCTCTGACTGCCCTTGCGCTGATGCCTCAACGGTGCCCTCAGAAGGATTCGCTGAGACTGAATAGAATGATACAATGCTCTATACATACTTTGCGTTTTGTGCCCTTTTTTCTCAATATATAATCCAAATTAAAGCAGTGCATCTTCAACATGACCTATTCATGACAAGATATAGTTGGAGTATAGACAAGATATAGTTGGAGTATAGTTGGAGTAACATGTCTATTGAGAAGTCATTTTTATATGTATCCTCCCCCAATGGTTCGAGTAAAGTTTGCTGATTTCTACCCTCTAATAAAGGTATCTTATACGGCCATCATAAAGGCGCAACATACAAATTCATCCGGCAAAGAGACAGAAACAGACGCTTCTTACCTTGGTTCTGTGTAGGCTGACTTTTCCCCTCCGTGCCGTCTAGAGTGACGGACATCTGTAGGAACACTTCCTCATTCCTCTGCCGGCCTTTGTTGGGTCGGTCCATGATGTACCACCACTTCTGCGGTAAACCGTCCACTGACTCCCGGACTGCGGCTGCAACATCGCCTTCTCCGGCAGCAGGACGTTTGTCTGGGTTTGAGGTTGGGAGGCCGAACGCCGAGCTTGTCGAAGACTTTGCGATGCCGTCTGCGACGTCGCCGGCAGCGGAGGGTGATGAGCTGTCCTTGCCGCTGTCTGCCGATGGTGCGCCCGGCTCTGTTTCATGGCAAACATCGATCTTCCGATTCTCTGGCTCTGGTTTATCTTCGTTAAGCTCCGTCTTCATTGTCCGCTCGGAACACTTCACTGGGTCTGAATAGGGTAAACGCGCATTTATTACAATTGTTTTTGCAGACACCTATCACTACAATTTCAGTATTCTTCAACGCCTTATTTATAGTAAAATTATACCTATATATACATGGCTGTGTCTAGATCTGGAGTTGAGACCGTGTCTATATGTGCCACTTTCCTCTAGAGTTCGGTTTAAAGGCAAAAAAGGACTTGTTCCACTGCTGAAAACGTATCCCTTTCCAGCTAATTGAACTAAGGAAGATTCGGTATAAAGTGGGAAGAAGAGGAAGATAGATTCTATGGTTTGCACAACAAGCAAAATAGGAATGATTCTACGTTAATTTAACGTTTTTATGGTCAGTTGTATGCAATTGAAACAAATCTGGCGCCTTGGTAGAATGCACACTTTTAGGCTGCCTTTTTTGAAGTGTAATGAAACTTTAGATGCCAATCCTGTATGGAATGAATATCTGACTCCTCTTACCTTGACCCTTTGATAGTTCCCTCTCCTGACCGTCGGCAGCACCAGACACGTCCGTGTTACGAGTGGAACGGTGCGCGTCGTCTGGCGAGACGTCCATGTCCTCGTCTGCAGCAAACCTGTCCGCTGTGTCCGCTGACGTTGTGTCTAAAGAGTCTTGTTTGTCGTCTGCGATGTCGCCAGTGACGAATGGTGGACTGCTGTCCACAGCGCTGTTGTCTGGTTCTTTTTCCTGGGAAACTGCCACCGCCTTGCTGACCTGGTCATTCTGCAGCTCTGACGGAGTCTCTGACTGCCCTCGCGCTGATGCCTCAACGGTGCCCTCGGAAGGATTCGCTGAGACTAAATAGAATGATACAATGCTGTATATATATATACAGTGGAAGCCAGTTAATTGCAAAACGCTTATAAGAAAAAGTCTGCTAATTGAAAAGAATTGTGAAAACCCAAACCGTACTTTTCGTTTTGCGTCATTGTATTCAGATTGCGTCACCACATAATCTGAATTGAACTAGTGTCACCTCAACATGACTTATATTACAAGAAAGAATCATGTGCCTTCGAATTCATTTTTTTCTTGAAAATGTCTATTGAGAAGTCATTTTCATATGTATCATGATTTCTACCCTATCGAGAAAGGTATCTTATACGGCCATAAAGGCGTAACATACAAATTCATCAGAGACAGGCGCTTCTTACCTTGGTTCTGTGTAGGCTGACTTTTCCCCTCCGTGCCGTCTAGAGTGACGGACATCTGTAGGAACACTTCCTCATTCCTCCGCCGGCCTTTGTTGGGTCGGTCCATGATGTACCACCACTTCTGCGGTAAACCGTCCACTGACTCTAGTGCGGCTGCAACATCTATGGAGAGCACACCGACTGTGGTGTCCTTGCAGCGCTTCGCCTTACGGAGTTTCAGAACCAGTTGGTCTGTTGGTGACCATGGCACGAACTCCGCAGAGTGCTCCCAGATCAGCGCATCCGACTTTTTCTTAGCGGTCTGAATCTTTGTCTTGCCATGGCGTACGGTAACTACATACTTGCCCTGACTCTGACGCCCAACTTTGCCCTCGTGGACAGTTACGTTGAGTTTTGGCCCGCCGCTCTGGCTCTTACTGCCAGGTCTGAGCAATGACAGCACGTGTACCACTGAAAGGAATGCTGACGCCGTCTTGTCGAGAACTCCCATCTTTCCAGGAGAAATTTAAACAAGCAAATTCACTTGAACAAAACGCGGGACTCGAGATATACGTCCGTATCCTCGGTCAACCTTGGCGTTGTGTTTGGTTGCTGTGCTACAGCGTGGCTAAATGCAGTTCTAGAACACTCCGTCGGACAATCGCGAGCGCTCTTGGAACAAGAAATGGATACTCTTGACCCTAAGTGACCCCAAAAGACGTCGCGTACGGGCGTTCTAAAACAAATTTTGCCGCCTTGGTGACGTGAAAATTTATCTCCGACTTTTATAACACGTATGTCCAGTATATATTTGCGTTTTGTCTTCGTAGAGTTCCCTGTTTGTTAGCCCCATTTCTGTAACGGCAGTTTACTTACAATTACCTGTAGTGTTGATAAATATCGCAAGGTGGCGCAACTGCACAGGCCTGAAATATGCAAAGCAGTGACGTAGCATTGGAGGAGGAGGGGCATAATCCCGGAAGTCAACTATTAGCTGAGTCAGTATACGAACGCGATTTACGGGAAGACGTGACACCACCGTCGTCAGTTGCGGTTAGAGAACGCCTTCTTCATCACCTGTATTTCTGTATATCCCTAACTCCGTCGTGCGATGGCGTTCGCTTGGCACACAGCGCCGACCATCTCAGGTAAGCAGTTTTAGTAGTGATATGCTGGCGGTGGGAGGGCGAGGGGTGTCAGTATACCGTACGTACCCGGAAACCAAGTCCTTGGTTATATCAAATAATTTCTTACAAATCCTTATACTGCTTGGAAGTTGGAATATATACGAAACCCTACGATAGATAAAAATGCAGTCACAGTACAGATACATTAGTGGAAGAGCTTATTTTCTACAACCAAAGGCGCCACAAAAATCATATAGTGTCCTAAACAAGTTAAGTTGTAATGTGTTTATATAACTTTCTTTCTAGTTTCTTACATGTATCTAATGTGAAAGACCAGAATACAGTAAGCCTATTTCATAGCCACAAGTTATGCTGCGTTGTGAAGTCATAATCACAGGTGTGAGCCCTGCTTTGTCCTAATTATTCAGTCCCAGGGGGAATGTTGTCACCACACCGGATGTTTCACATTTTCTGAGAATTTCCTCCACCCACAACGATAGAACAGCACACTCAGTGACTTTAAACTGTACACTCTTCAAGCAGAGGCTTTGGCTTATTTTTGACGTCTTTATAGGCGTATTTATCGGTCTTTCTTTTTCTGTTCCGGTATCTTACTTTTTTTCGCCAGCTATTTTGGTATATTCCATACTGCCCTGTCATCTGATACTGTCTATGTAGCCACCGAAAGATCTGCTTGGAGATTATATTTGTACACCTTTTGTTTACATTCACTTCATAGTCATGTGGATTCTAGTCATGGTCTTGTCTTTCAGAAACTTTCTGCCTGACTTGTTCTCCTATTAAAGTATAGATTAGGTAATGACCTGTAATGACCTTTAATGCATGGTTACCAGTCCTTATATGGGCATTATCAGACAGGTGTGTCATTTGCATTTCTGATAAATACACTTTTTAGACTGCTTTTCAGACTGAATTAAAGTAATTTGGGAAAAATATTTCCTGATAGCAATTCGAATCACAATGATTTCCATGTGTAAGGAAGGAAAATTAATTGTAATTTTGGAACATATTTCTTCATTTGTATCTTTGGGAGCACTGACAGTGCTAAGATGGAATTCGAGCAGTTTTGACTTTATTGGTCTTTCTCAAGAATGACAGAGATTCCTCCGTTTTGCCTTACTTAGTGCAGTGCGCTCTAACTCAAGTTTTAGATATTGACCAACCAGGGTAAAGGATCCCATTTTGCAATTGCCCAGGTATATAGGCTGTGTTACCCGGCCTGAGCTAAAGGTCTAGTGCGTGCACTATGCACCGAGTACTCTACACTAGGTTAGATTGCTCTAAATGGTTGTTTTGTCCTGATCTTAGTTGATCTACACTACAGTATGACTGCATGTACTAGTACTGATCTAGAACAATTGCACATTTGCACATGTCATGAAGGTCCTGTTTGTACATATCATTCGAGGATGATCAGGCACATTATAGTTATGACCCCATGGTAGACAAGGTTTACATTGATATGCGCATAGACAGGTCTGAGAGACTCGTCTGTTACAAGCATAGTGAAGCAAAATCAATGAACAGAGATTATGCTGTAAGGTAGCCTAGAAACAGAGAATGAATTAATACTATATGACAGTAAAAATACTAAATACTTCCAAACTTTCTTACTGGGTTGGTAAATGCTTGGATCTATATAGGAAACTAGTATTCAGTAGATGCGAGAGTGAATATTTATTTATGATTACATCTACGTTAGTGCTGGCTACGAGTGCTGTACTTCTTGACCCCTCGCATATACCTTGGTTATTTCCAGAGATTCTAAGTTTAGTCCTTGTGGATAAAGTGTTCGGAGCTGATGTCATGTTTTTCTGAAAGTTTCTGCCTGACTTGTTCTCCTAAGTATAGATTAGGTAATGACCTGTAATGACCTTTAATGCATGGTTACCAGTCTTTATATGGGCATTATTGGGCAGGTGTGTCATTCGCATTACAGATAAATATACCTTTTATATAGACTGAATTAGGGTAATTTTTGAAAAGATCATATTTTCTGATAGCGATTTGAATCACAATGATTTCAGTGTGTAAGGAAGGAAATTTATGGGGCAAATTATTGTAATTTTATAACAATTTTAATTAATACCAATTCCAATCACATTGTGTTTCATGAATAACCAAGGACGTTGTACTGTGATGAAATCTCCTTGGTATAACAGACCATATGCAGTGTATGTACCATTAGACTTTTTTTTTGACTAATCTGGTGGTTCCAAAAGTACAATATCCTTAGGCATTCATGCCAGAAGGAAGCTAACATTGCAAAGTCATTTTGGCCAACAAATCAAATTGTTGTGGCCTATATAGGGAAATGCCTTGAGTTTAGTACATGTATCTCAACAGCAACTGTGTTATAGTGTATAATATGGGTACCTACTTAGTAAAGACCACATCTACCAGAAAAATAGATGCAAAGCAAGGACAGCAACAACATACTAAATATGTAAACACATATACATGTACCAGTACTCAAACTGTGATTCTTCTTTTCTATAAGGTGGTGATGAAAACCCACAACGAGGTAAAGTTCACACAAACAGCCACCATTGGTCCATCATGCAGAAGGAGCTGTCAGAAATGCACAGCCAGGAGGAGCTGGTAGACGTCACGCTGCTCGTGGACGAGGACAGGTTCCCCTGCCACAGGCTCCTCCTGGCCGCCGCCAGCCCCTACTTCAAGGCCATGTTCTGTCGCAAAGGCTTCACCGAGACCCAAGAGGACTGCGTCAGGCTACAGGGGGTCAGCAAGGACGCAGTCAACCTTCTCGTCCGGTACGTGTACACGGGACAGGTCGAACTCAGCGAGACGAACGTCCAGGAACTGATGTCGGCGGCCAACATGTTCCAGATCCTGGACCTGTTCCAGGCATGTGCGACGTACATGCAGAGCAAAGTGGACAAGACCAACTGCCTGGGGGTGTACTTCTTCGCCCAGGCGATCGATCACGAGGACCTGATGTACGCGGCGCGCGACGCGCTGAACATCAACTTCGCCAGCGTGAGCCGGACGGAGGAGTTCCTGCAGCTGTCCTGGCAGCAGGTTGTCGACATCATCTCCAGCGACAAGCTGAGCGTCAAGAGCGAAGACCAGCTGTGCAAGGCAGTACTGCAGTGGCTCCACCACCACCAATGGCAGGGCAGCGGCGAGGAAAACCTGGATGCCACCGTGTGGAACGTGCTAAAGCATGTCCGCTGCAAGCTGCTCAGTCAGGAATACGTGTCCGACATCTTGTGTAAGGACCCCGTCGTGTCAAAGTGTGAAGAATTCATGAAACTCATAACTGACAATACCGGTACATGTAGCACGAAACTTGAAGCTGAGAAGGAAGGTGTCGAGTCAAAGGAAGAAGTCTCTCCTAAGCCACAGGCTGTTTCAGAAGAGATGAGACGTGAGCGACTGGGAGCGGACAGGAGGGAGCTGATCGTGACGTTGGGAGCGAGTCACATAGATGACAGCGGGGAGGAGTACAGCAGGATCATGGCTTATGACGTTCAGAGTGAAAAAGCCTACCTGCTAGCCCAGCTGCCGCAGAGGATGAATGATCCGGCCGTGGTCGTGACCAAGGACAATGACATCTACGTGGCCGGAGGGACGTTGTACAAGAAGAATCTTGACTCGGACGTGTCAGTCAGGACTATGTATAAATACCAACATTCCCTGAACAGGTGGGTGGAGAGGCAGCCGATGTTGGAGGGTAGGTCAAGTTTCGGGATGACCTTCCTACAGGGTTACATCTACGCCGTAGGTGGCATGGTGTACGACAACTTTGGGAGATACAGCGGCACTCTGAACACCGTGGAAAGGTACAATCCTGAGTCGGACACCTGGCAGTACGTGACGCCCATGCCCGACGGTATATCCGAACACGGCGTGGTGACGCTGGGGAGAGAACTGTATGTGGTCGGAGGCAGGCCTCCCACCCACACGTTCTGTTTTGACCCGGAGGAAAACGCGTGGGACGTCTACGAGAGCGTCCCGATCCCCATGTCGGACCCTGGCGTGATTGTCTTCAACTCGGAAATAGTCGTTGCCGGCGGGTTCAAGTTCCTCTGCCCCAACCGGGGGAGTCTGCGCGACGTACAGATCTTCAACCCTCATGGAAACGGATGGGAGGAAGGTCCACCCCTCCCCGAGGGAAGGATATGTCCCGGGTTGGCCGTGGTAAACCGAGAGTTGTACATCGTCGGAGGCGAGAGGTCAGGCCACGGAAATCGCGATGACCTGCCGTTGCTGAAGTTTAGTGGGAGCTATGAGGAAGGTTGGGAGGAGATGTCCCTGCGCTCTTCAGGTACAGTCTCCTGTGCAGTTGCCAAAATGTTTGTGAGGAACTTGCAGGAGACTGATACCTATTAGATAAAAAGGAACCACATTCCAGTTTTAGCTCACCGAAAAGCTATCCTTCCACTGGTTGTGACAGAGAAGACAGGCGCTATGTACAGTATTTACAGGTTCATTGTACCAGGAAATTTCCCTAGCTCTTTTCGACAAGCACAATGAACAGCTTAATGTCCTGTTCCAAGGAGGTTTTCCCCTAGAACCCCCTTGCCTGTTCTAAGGACTGCGACCCCTTCCAGTAGCGTGTCAATAGCCAGGACTCAAACTTCCAACTTCATGGTCCACAGGCAGGGTTGTTAATAATAGGACTGTGCATTCTACTGTGACTACCTCATGGTGGGATTACCGGTAGTATATGAAAGAACTGAATTATGAAGTATATGTAGATGTAGGTTATACTGCAAAGTACGGTCTTAGACTGATGATGGTTTGAATCTAAAGTTTGATGCCAAAGAAAAATGTAAACACATCCTCTCAATTCCTCAGTTTTGTGCAGCCACAAAATTTAATTTTCTACAACAACTCAAATGTTTAGATATTTAGAAATATTTATACATGTATATTTATATGCAACACATTTACACTTTTCTCACCCAATGTTTCCAGATATCTATCAAGGAAATAAAAAGGTTACAATGTGTTGTGGAAGACAGGGGTGAAGGGAAACAGTAAAAAGTATAGGAAACAGTAACAATTGTATCAGTTAACTTTATATGTTAATACATTTGCACTTTCATGTATCATATATGTAACACACAAAGCAGCTTTATACTAACTGGTGTTAAAGCTTTACCCATATTAGCAAGCATCATTTCAGTATCGGTATTGATATGGTGGAGTGGTGCTGTGTTTTTATATATTCCTAGAAATTAAAATAAAGTTGTAACTGTTGTTGTGTGTTATCACAATGGCTTCTATCCATTTTGTTACAAATAGGAAGTGTTATGAAATCATTTTCTAGTTAGAACATATACTGGAGGGGACCTTACAAAGAGGGGGCCTGCAAATTTTAGCTGGCTGCATATTGAATTGCCTCATGTGAAAGCTGATTACAAGTTACATGACTTAAGGCAACTGCCTCCAATCAAATTTAGTCTTTGGGTATGTTGGCTGTCTTTGAAACGGCTTAAAATTGCCTTACAATTATATTGCCAACAAGGTTAATGTTTGTGTGTGTGTGTTTTGGTGTGTTTGTTTTGGTGTGTTTGTTTTGGTGTGTGTGTGTGTGTGTGTTTTGGTGTGTGTATGTGTGCGTGTGTGTATGTGTCTGGGTGGATTGTCTTGATATTTGATACGTGGCTAGGTCTTGATGAAACCTCGAAATGATTAGATTGCGGACCCCCTGGCGGCTTGTTATGGTACTGCAGGGATCTCCCAGTATTGGTATCTTGTGATCTGGACAAGTTACGGTCAAAAAGTTTGGTTGGTAGGTAGCTCTTGTGTTCGGAAATAAGTGATGTGAGCTTTAAGCTTCCTAGCAAGTTGTTTTGAAAATGGACGGGCGTTGATGAATTATTTTTGGTATGTAGATAGCTTACTTAAACCATGACTTTCAAATGTGATTTTGGCATGTAGCTTTGTTAGATAACAGTTATGCAAATCAGAATCTAATTTGCATGATTGATGAGGAAATCCCATAAATTTGCTGCATTTCAAGATTGGACTTTTCAAACTTGTGACATGCAATTGAGAACAAGTGGAACATCGACAGACATTGATTGAATGAATGGTTTTTTAACATCCTCATAATCATTACAGATCGTGCGTACAGTGGCAGCCTTCGACGGCCGAAGTAAATTACGATTTACAATTAAAAGACAATAAAGGATATATACATAAATTAAACATTTCGAACCATACAATGTGCTCATCTTACCACTTATTTATGTTCATGATTATGTACAGTGGGAACTTTCATACTGCATTTCAACCTTGCCCCATATATATATAAGCACCCAATAAATTAAAATCGGCTAACGTAAACTACCAGGCTTCATTCTACCTCTGACTATTAAAGACAGCTAGTAACCAAGACAAGTTACTCTTGAGGCCACTTTGAGTTTGAAACATGTGGACAACAGATAAGGAATCGATGTACAATTGTACATAAAGAAATAAACCTCACCTAACCCTGGATATAAAGTATGGCAACACTGTCTTGCCAATCTCTGGCTCTTAAGTATGACTAGATATTATAAATTGGCTGGCAGTTACCTGACAATATACATCTCTACAGAGCTATAGCATACATGTATACTATTGTCTTAGACTACCAAATACATACCACAATTGCAATCGAATATTTCTAGACACACTTACTATCCAAGTTGTGAGAAAGACATTTTCAAGGTACAAATATAGATATCTACAAGTAGACACATTATTGTTTGTTTGTTTATGATAAAACTTTGACAGGAAAGTTTGACCATAAGCTTGTTTTTTTCCCAGAAACTGAAAGTTGTCTTGCGACTTAGTTACAATTATCCGGATCATTCTGCATGATTTGTTACTTTGAGAAACAGTATAGAAAAATATCTGAATGTGTTTAAAAGAAGTGACCAGTATTATGCTAAGCTGTCCCTGCCTTTTGTTTCTGGGGCCCAGAGTTACCACCGGCTCCGTATTGTCGCTAAGGCCATGTTGATTTGATAATATGGATGACATCCTCCGCTCCGGGAACCCCAAAATTGATGCGCGCGTGCGAATAAAAAAAAGTTTTGCAAAAAAAAAAAGTTGTTTTCATTATGAAATCTACGTGATCATGAGGGTTGAACAAATGGGACAGAATATGGTTTGGCGAATAATCTAGTCTTCAAGTTCATTTCTTTACAATTTCGTCTTTTTTCGTTTGATTTTGTCATTCTACAACATTGGTATGTTTTTTTTGCAACTTACGATATATTTTTGCTCATTTTGCAACTGTTTTGTACG